CGAAAATCTAAATATTTTGTACGTAATTTTATACTTTCCGGATAAACATACGTTATTTTTTTTAGATATATACTTTGTAGATGATAAAATTTGTTGGTCATTTTTTTAAAAATGTTTTGGTGGTAATTTCAATACAAAAATGTATTATTGATATTTTTATTATAAAAACTTTCTACTTTATTTAAAGTGTTATATTGATTTTCATTTTACTACAAAAATCTATTATTGGTAATTTTATTATAAAAAATGTACTACTGATTTTTTGGGACGTGGTCATTATCTACTAATACCCCGGGTCAGGGTGGACCTTGGAACAACACCAACTAAGAGGTGGTCCAATACTTCTCAAAATCTCCAATGTCCTGATTAAAGATCTTGCTGCCGGATGTAGTTTGTCGTCATACCCAGGACGACTTGGATTTGAATGCTATTAGATATAAACCGTATATAAAAGATTTACACAATTACAGAGACGTAAACAGCGAATCAACTAATCCCAAATATTATGCTTAAGTATTTACACAAATCAGTAGTAAGGAAATATTTGATGACGCTAAAATTAAATATGTACACCCTTGTGCAAGTTAATTGAAACAACCGCTTTAGTTTCCTTTCCTTCATCATACAGTCAGTTTTAAACCCACTGGAGTAACAGGGCGTAAACGATTTCTATTTTTCCCCAGATTAGGTCATTTGCAGTGGTGTGGAGTAATATGAATCTATTTTCGTGGTGTGCGATGAAATTTGTTTGGCTCTGAAAAATATTGCGTCATCAGTGATTGCATTAGATTTTTATCATGCCCAGACACTATTGTCTCGATTGTCGATTAGTTGTCCTACGACCATTGTCTGCGATGGACGTTACTCCAAAGAAGCGTACCAAAATTCTAACACTAACACACTGGGAACCTTACCAATGAGCAAAGTACTATAGACTGGTGCAGAAACCTTCCCGATTTCAATCCAATTGAGAATCTGTGGTCAATCTGCTAGGAACGATTTCGTGGAATGGACATACGAAGTACTAACATATGCACTGGTCATGCTTCATTTGGAAAATAGAAAAAAAAGTAAATAATAACCTAATTATTCGTTTTGTTTCAATTGATTTGCTCAAGGGTGTACATTCAGGGTAAATATTTTTATGAGCTCTTCGCTATGATATCAAGAGTTTTTGAATTTAAGCTCCGTACTGGACTAGCGGCAACATCTCATCAATTTACAGTTGAGCTGGCTAGATGTAGCTGTAAGTTCTATGATAACAATTTCTTTTCTCGCACTTCTTGATTGTGGAAGTCCCTTCCGGCTCTATGCTTTCCAGACAACTTTAATCTTCAAATATTTAAATGCAATGTCAATCCCTATCTACTGTCCTCCTGTTTGATCTTTTTCTTTCCCGCTCATTTTTAATATTTCTGCTCCTAATTCTTTCATATCCAGTAACCCGTTGTCTTTACTGCCTTGCATGGGGAAAACAATTAAAAAGATATTATTAAATAACTGCTATAAAACACAATTCCAAGTTTATAATTTCGGTTACTAGTATACACAGATATTAATGTTTAATAAGAAGATAAACGACATTTTTATATAAATTAAAAGAAAAGACACATTGTTTAACAATCTTCCAGTGTTTCGACAGTATGTCTGCCTTTTTTTTATCACGCCTAGACACTATTCTCTCTACTGTCGATTAGTTATCCTACAGCCATTATCTGCGATGAACGTTATTCCAAGGAAGCGTACGAAAATTGTAACGCTACAACAAGCCTTACCAGTGAGCAAATCAAAGTACCATAGGTTGTCCCGGAAAGTCTTCTGATTTAAATCCAATTGAGAATTCGCGATCAATCTGAAAGGAACGTCTTCGTGGAATTGACATACGAAGTACTAACATGTGCACTGGGAAAATAGGGAAAAAAAGTAAATAATAAAATAATTATTCGTTTTGTTTCAATTGATTTGCGCAAGGGTGTAAAATCCCTCGCAGAAAGCAATCATATCGTAAGTATAGAACACAGTGAAACAAACATAAAACGTAAAAACATGAAAAGGCACAGTAACGTTTTATGGCATACCTCTACCCCATTATAACAGGGTGGAGTAATGGATTCCGTTTCAAACCAAGAAATCAGAAAGCTGAGTTCGAATTCCAATCGAGTTCATTCCTTTAATTTTTGGGAAAGGTATGAATCTGTTTCTTCTCCTTCCAAATGGGTTTTTGGAAACTGGGTTCTATAGCCTGGTGGCAAACTAGGAGAAAAAACTTGAATTTAACTTTTTTTTTATCCTTGTCTTTTTAAAATAAATTTTGTCTCAAGGAACGCTGAAAAAAAAAATTATATACTGTATCTTTTATTTTATTTCCATCTAGTTCATCATGTTATAGTATATATTTTTGAAAAACTGGTTTAAGGAAAAATTAATACTTTATTGTCAATTTTTTCGGTAATGCTGAATAAAATTTATACTGTTCGTTTATAATACTTCATCAGGGTGTTTTCATTCACACAAATAATTCTAAAATCAAACGTCAAAAATAAACGTAAGTAAATCAATATTATATACCTATAATATAAATGTAAACAGAACAAAAACAGATAATTGCTGCATCAAAATCCTTTACTGGCAATGTTGAAAAACATAATCAAGGCAAAATGTCCTGCAATAGGCCAAGAAAATTTTCAAGCCATTTGATTAAGTAAAACATGCTTAGCTAATGTAAGCTGGCCTGTGTTTTGCTACACAATACTTGAAAAAAGGTCGAACTTTAAATCCCGTTCGAGAAGATGGTTTCACACTGGCACTGTACAGACATCACTAAATATAACCCCAATGATTGCTATATTTTTTTAATACCATAATAGGTTAGAAAAGATGATGTCTATATTACAATATTACAATAATCAAGAATATATTGTGTGTGTGTTTAGTAATATTACGTGTCAAAAGTGCATTATCTTATCTCACCTGTTCTCGTGGAACTCTTTGGGCACCTTTTGTGGAAGCTTAGGATTCTGGGAACCCCGGTTGAGAAATAGTGGTCTACACACTTGAGAAAACATGATAAAACCCTGACTAAAGGAACTGGATCAAATGTAAAAATTGTTCTTTTGCAACACAAATACTTAATTCAAGGTCGAACTTTAGATAAACACACACGGATTTCATTCTCAATTGAGAAGAGACTATTTCTGTCTTTGCTCTTGATATTTGTTAAATAAAATGAAGATGGTTTCACACTGGCACTGTACAGACATCACTAAACATATCCCCAATGATTGCTATATTTTTTTAATAACATAATAGGTTAGAAAAGATGATGTCTATATTACAATATTACAATAATCAAGAATATATTGGGTGTGATTAGTAATATTACATGTCAAAAGTGCATTATCTTATCTCACCTGTTCTCGTGGAACTCTTGGGTACCTTTTGCGGAACCTTAGGATTCTGGGGAAACGCGGTTGAGAAATACTGGTCTACACATTCGAGAAAACTTGGTAAATGACTAAAGGCCAGTGGATCAAATATTGGCTTCTCTGATTTGATGCAGGTTGATCGGAGAGAACATTTTTTATTAAAAAAATGGAACAAATTTTAATAAAAAAATATATATACATTTCAAACATGGCTATCTACTAAAAACTCAAACGTAAAAAATAAATATAAGTAAACAATATCATATACCTATAATATAAATGTAAACAGAATGTAAACAATAATATTACGTATATGAAATTAAATAAAAAGTAAAAAAGTGCATTAGCTTATTTCACCTGTTCTCGCGGAACCCTTTGGGACCTTTTGCGGAACCTTAGGGTTCAGGGGAACCCCGGTTGAGAAAGGCTGCTGTAGAGGGTTGGACTCTCTTGCCAAAGAGAAACTAATGCTGACACGGTAGCTGCACATGTCGTCTCCCTTCATATCGAGCGTAACGGACAAAAAAAAAATAATATTGCTAGAGACATTCTACAAATAGGTAGATAATCATGTAAAAATATCAACAAAATAAAAGAAGATTTTTAGCCGAAACCAATTGAAGATCAGCTGCTTTGAAAATTGAATAAAATCTATATCTCATCATATCGATATATTATTGAATAATCATATAACCTGAAAAACAACCGATTGGCCACTGAAAGATTGATTGATATAAAACAAAAGTAACTTTTACAAACACAACTTGGGGCAGTAAAGCTTGAACCATTTGAATATTGTATGGAAGCATTTTAAAATCCAGTTCCAGAATCTTCTAAAGCGATCTTCTGGCTGCACTTAGTTGAGCATAGAGACGACGGTTGGAAGCTGATGGATCCTCAAGGACACTCTGCCGTACAGCTTCCATCGCTGCGTCAGTGTGCTTAGGACCTCTTCCCGGATGATCGTCGACTGATCCAATTTTTTAAAACCGGGCGATTAGGCTTCGAATCATGTTATCGCTTGTAGAAACTCTGACATTAAAATATTGCCGCTAGTTTCTCTGAGTTTCAATGGCACAGAAAAAACTCATTGAGTTTCACTCGTTGCTAGACATCATACGGGACCATTTTAATCTCCAAGGGATGCTCTAAAAACTATAAAACAAAAAATAAAATAAAAGAGATTGAAAACGAACAAGTTATGACTTTTTCAAACCTTTTAGTTTTTCAGCAGCCACTTTCTATAAGAGTATAAAAAAATGAAAAAATGAAACTGCGTAAAAATTATGAAGTGTCCCTTATACAGATGACTAAAACTCAGATCCTAAGACCCTTTTAAAGGTCAATGTTGTAACCTAGAAAAGGTTACTGAATGAGGAATAACCAAAACGGAGGTTGCAAATGAAATGATAATCTTTATGACATCAATAAAATACAATACTCGCCAGCGTCGTGAAGTAGGTAAAACACTGCTAATGGTGTACTACTTAGCATATTACGCCCACTTACAATAGTGTCCAACGTATTTATGAGAATTTATTCATACCCATGAGTGTTCAAATGTACGGTATATAGAACTATCTATCTAAGCCTGCCCCTTACCTATCTAGCTGTCTATCTCAGTCTGTTCATTATCTATCTATCTATCTATCTATCTATCTATCTATCTATTGTAACCTAGAAAGGGTTACTGAATGAGGAATAAACAAAACAGAGGTTGGAAATTAAATAGTGATCTTTATAACATCAACAAAATACAATACTCGCCAGCGGCGTGAAGTAGGTAAACCACTGCTAATCTATCTATCTATCTATCTATCTATCTATCTATCTATCTATCTATCTATCTATTGTAACCTAGAAAGTGTTACTGAATGAGGAATAAACAAAACGGAGGTTGGAAATAAAATGATAATCTTTATAACATCAACAAAATAGAATACTGGCCTAAAAAATTATTTAAAAATTGTTTAAAAATTATTTAACAATTGTTTAAAAATCATTATTAAAATGTAAACAAAAACAATTATTATTAAAATAATATTAAATAATATAATAATTATTAAATTATTATTAAAATATCAAATATCAATATGTATGTTTCATTTTCCAGCCTTTTTTAAACATAATTTAAGGAAATTCTTTGACAATGTCGGCAAATAATAGTTATTTCATTTCATTGATTAAGTAAATTTTTATTTTTTATGAGCTTAATAATGTATAATTTCTCATGTATGCACAAATAACATACGTCATTTAATTACCTACATATTTTAGCTTTTCTTATTAATTTCCATTTCACAGTAGGTGTCTTATTGGTTTCGTTTACGTGCCAGAAATATTTAGATAGGGACGTTTGTTTTCGGTATTTATTCTAAAAGAACTTTGATGTTGGTTGAATCTCTTTTTGAAATCATGTCTTGTGCATCCAATTTACTTTATCTGGATTCTCAATAGATGAGATATTGCATTGGTACACTAATGATTCAGTGTGACATTTATTTTTAAGAGGAGAGTTTTGAGGATTTCTGCAGTTACATAATTTTTGTTTATCTTCATCTCTTTTTATTATACTGGCAAAATTTCTTTGATTTTGGTCTGAGTGTTTATTCAAGATATTAGCATTATGTTCCTTAATAATCATTTCTAAGTTTTTCGGTACAACTAGTACAAACTAGTAAGTTTATAATATTTATGCTCTACAGAATTGAACTGTTTTTTAAAAATAAAAATAATTAATAAGAACACCGGATTATAAATCTTACTGTTCTTTCTCTTTTTATTTTAATATATATATATATATATATATATATATATATATATATATATTAAGAAATATATATTATATATATATATATATATATATATATTAAGAAATGGACAAAGTCCGACAATTTATTTATTAAATACATTTTTATGTTTAACGTTCTTTTTATAGAAACAAGTATTTAATTAAATGTCTGTTTATAATAAACAGTATTAAATAACATTTACCAAACCTGAATGTCCGACAAATTTTCATAGAAAATATTCGTCCTTTGACAGGATTCGAACCTGCATCCTATACGGAACCGTCATTTACGCTGACTTGCCTTACCGATCGGCCACAAAGGAGCGTTATAAGCAGTAAATCCGACCTTGCCTACCGAACGCTCCTTTGTGGCCGACCGGTAAGGCACGTCAGCGTAAATGACGGTTCCGTATAGGATGCAGGTTCGAATCCTGTCAAAGGACGAATATTTTCTATGAAAATTTCTCGGACATTCAGGCCGGTAAATGTTATTTAGTACTGTTTATTATAGACAGAGCATTTACTTAAATACTTGTATCTATAAAAAAAGAACGTTAAACATAAAAATGTCTTTAATATATATATATATATATATATTTAAAGATATTTTGGTAGGTACAAAATTTAATGATCGAAATAAAAGTATAAAACTTAATATTACGACACATATTAAAAACGGGCGAAGCAACCGGTTTCGCTCCCGCTCTTCAGGCTTCAACGGGAGATTTAATTTAAAATTAACACAGGAAAATGTAGAATAAAAAGGAAGTTGTGGGAGAAAAAAAATACAATAGCAAAAGGAACTAGAGACAAATGACAGCGAGCCCCAACAAACACTCACGTTGTTTACACAAAGAAGGCTTGCGGGACCCGATGTAAAGTGCCTCCAGAACCTTTAGATGAAATAAAGAGTGTAACCGGGACAACACGGGGAACCAGTCAGCACTAAATTTGGCTGCCCAATCTCTGTTCTTTCATAGGTGTTCGCATATGGCGGAACCATAGGTGTTCGGGACGAGTCCATTCAACGGAATATCTATATATATTGTATAGACTATGGCGAATAATATTGTTTACACAGCGAACTGACTTTCTGATCAGTAGACCTAGCGCTGGTTTCAATATAATCTTTCCACTTCAACCCGCCGAAGACGGAAATATATAAATTATATATAAATTACATTTAGCCAGATGGAGTTCAATCCCCAGAAACAGTTAACTTTCTTTGATGGTCGAAATATTCAGCAAAAAGGCGCGAAATACACGCGTAATGATGAAATGACATTTCGCGGGTTTTTTTTTTCTCCTTCAGAGTATTATTTTTTACATTTTGTTTTTATTTTGCTGTTACGTGAGAAAGTCGCCGAGGAAGTGAAGTGTGAAATCTTGGCAGTAAACACGTGTCGAGAGGAGTGTTAGGCTAAATGGTAACAAAAGGTGTTTGCAGTTTCTTGAGGACAGGTGGACGATGAGGCAGTCGACGGTTTGAGCAGCGTTATTGTCTTGACGCCAATTTTAAACCCCATCTGGACAAGACCTGCTGAATTTGATGAAATTGAGA